TATCTAACATGTTGGACGTGTGTGAGTGAAGTGAGAACCATCACCGAGGAGACAAATTGAGCCGCCTTCTTTCTGACGCCTGCTCAGCACCCTCTCTCTCTTTCAATCTATCAATCAAGCAAAGTAATTCCGACTTAACTTTCTACCTCCGTTCTTCACATTCAACGTATTTCCTAAGCTATTACTTTCAATAGCCTCTTATCTTTATTTTAAGCACACACGTACCGTGATCAGCAAACCTACTAGTTTGAGACTATTTTATTTCATGTCCAGTTTCTACCATGTGTTCGGCCACTTCTGACCGTTCGACTTAACTACCTTTGCAAGCATTTTTATATTTTATCAATCTTTGTCGAATAGGTCGGCATATCTCACCAACATAACATCTACCACGTGAGCAAACAATCTTGGGTCATATTTCTCTTTAAAAGATGGCATAATAGAGGAAAGTGTGAGGGTTTCTTTGAACACTGTTTTCATGTCCCACTTCTTCACTATTTTGCCTATCCTTTTTGAGAAAAAGTATGACGGTAAAATTAGGACATGGGAAAAGGTCTCAGTCTGTCCCTCTTTAACTAACTGGTCTCCGTCTGAATATGTATTCCTCAGTAGAGGGATATTATTCTCAATTAGGCCCCAAAAATAAGTATTTTCCAGGAATGTATTTGTCAGCCGTTACAACTCTTTAGTCAAATGTTTGCTATCCGCTAGCCTCAAACTTTTAAGAATCATTGACCTCAAAATTCCAACCTTAGTCTTGTAACTATGTTTGGAAAGAAAATTAAGCAAAGAGCCAACAAATGTTAGCTTTCTATAAACATATCTTTCTAAATTACCCTTTTCTCTATTGATGAGAACATCTAGAAAAGGTAAGGACCTATTCTCTTCAATTTCCATCGTAAGCCTAATGTTCTTTTCACGCTGGTTAAGTGAAAATAAGAAACTATCTAAATTGTTCTTACCATGAGGCCAGATGACAAAATAATCATCCATATATCTAACCAACAATTTGGGTGTTAGTATTGCCTCTTGCAGGAAGTGTTCCTTCAATTTTGCTATGTAATTGTTTGCTAAGTTGGGAGACAGGCAAGATCCCATCGCTAATCCTTGAGTTTGTTCATATAGCTTACCATCAAAGGTAAAATATGTGGTACTCATGCATAGATTAATAAGTCGAATAATAGAAGAAGTGGGGCATAAAAACAGTGTTCAAAGAAAACCCCACACTTTCTTCTATTATGCCATCTTTTAAAGAGAAATATGACCCATTATCTAGATCCGGCTGCTACAAG